GGGCTCCCTGACCAATTTACAGGTGCCTCCACAAGTCTCTCCTCCCCCAACATTGCTCACTACTTATGTAACTCCGGGACAAGTCCACTAAGCCTTGGGACTTTGTGGGCTTCAGAGCCCAGTGGGTTTCTCCTGAGCCTCCCACTGCCCTTCAGGAACCAGTGTTTCAGTTAGGAGGAAAGAGCTCCACAACAGATGGATAAAGTGTTAAACATCGGGCTGCAGAACTAACTGAGCCTGGAGAGGTGCTCAGTGGGCAGAAGGAGAAACCCCAAGGCCCTGTGCCAATACCAAGCCTGCAGAGACTAGCATCTGGATTGCATTCTGCACTTCTCTGCTCCCTTCGCTTGCTAAGTAAACCTGGGCACAAGCATTCAGGATCCACACAACTAGAAACGGAGCACGGGCAAGGCGCCTTTTCCGACAGCAACTCCAGCCATGCACACCCTCTCTAGCGGCCCCCTGTAAAGCACACCAGTGTTTCATTGGGCAGGAGTGGGGAGGGCCAGGTGCAGCCCTTTCCCGGGCCCCCTGGCTTGGGAGCTCTTCTGAGGTGCTTCCCTTCCCACACAGACATACCCATCAGTGCCCCTTTCAATCAACACCCCAGCCAGAACTTCCTCAGGACCCACAGAGTCTGCCCCATCACCACTGGCACGAGCGCTCCCAAACACCAAACTCTACCTGACCACTCTAACAAAGCCAGGCTGGCAGCAGACCTGAGTATGGGTGCTGACTCTCCAGCTCGATCACGACAGGCCAGCCACTGGACCTCTTCTAACTGCAGTCTCCTCTTCTGCAAAATGTCTCCCACATCTGTGGTAAGATAACACAGGGTAGATAAATACCAGCGCCATGCCTGGTGCTCAGTGAATGGGACTTTCTCTCCCTGCTGAAAACCTGCGGCCTTTCAAGGTCCTGTCGGTTGTTACAGGAAGCCTTTCCCAAACCACAAACTCTAGTTTGGTCTAATGAAGTCTTTCATATTTTTCTCGAGAAATGTATCTTCAGACTCTGTGACTTGGGCGTACACTTCTGAATTCTCCTAGTGTTCCCCAACATTAGTTGCTGCCTTCAACCCCCCCTGCACTCCTGCCTTGGGACGTTTAGACCTGTTGTTCCCTCTGCCACATTCATATTCGCAGTCTCTTTGACCTTTTCCCTGTCTGATGAACTCAAGTCATTCCGTCCCCCTACGACCCTCTCTCATCCCCTTCCTCCCTACCGAAACCAGTCTTCCCAAGTCCCCCCTTCTTCCCGGTGTCTTTTGTATGTGGCCCACTGAGCCTCATTACAGCTGCTTGCATGAGCCTGGGTGGGAGGTTATTTACTGAAACACGGCCAGACCACTGAAGAAAGTGACAGTCCATCCCCCAGGAACCACTGAATGCCACAGTGCAGGGAGGAGTAGGGCAACTGCAGGTCTAAGTATCACTCCACACAGGCCGTCCACCTCCAGTCACAGTCCTCTTCCCATATTTACTGCTTTTCCCCCACACCAGCACAGCACAACCGCACATGCTCTCCCATCTTGTGGCTCCCAACTCAATGCCAGCATTTACCACAATGCAGAAGGAAGGAGCACTGGGGAAATGCTTGTCTAAGAAAACATATGAACTATCTACTTCCAAAGGAAGTGCCTTAGCTTCGCTCAAGTTGACCAGAGCATACAGAAGCAAGAGGCTCCAAGCCCAGCCCTTCCAGCCAGCACCTGCTTGCCTAGGCTCTCTTAACTTGTCTTAAGGTAAAAACAAAACTGTAGTCTAGAGCTGGAGAGATGGTTCAGTGATGAAAATGTGTACTGCTGTTTCACAGGACCCACACTCAATTCCTAGCATCCATGCCAGGAGGCTCACAGTCTCCCTTAACTCCAGCTCCAGATCTAACTCCTCTGGCCTCCACAGGTACCTGTACTCATGACACAGACTTATGTGAATAAAAATAAAGTGTTAAAAAAAATTAGTCTGCTGAGCTCATGTCATAGAGAGGGAAGGACATACATTAGACAAGGCTCTGTGTCCTGAACTGACAAAATGGTCATTTGGGGGAAGAGGCTACACTAGACACAGGAAGATTATACCTCCTTAAGTGCCCATCCAGTGGGGAACTAAAGGGGCAGACAAGTGCACTTAGGAATATAAAAACTACAGTTCTTCACCAAATCGTCAGACATTGGCCAATTTTGGGTTTGTTTTGGGTTGACTCCCTGTGGTGGCTAATCTTGGTTGTCAACTTGACTATATCTGGAATCAACTAAAACCCAAGCACCTGTGAGGGATTTCCTTGCTATCAAATAATCCTCTTGTACACTGTAAAGATTTATCACTAGAATTGGTTTAATAAAATGCTGATTGACCAGTATCCAGGCAGGAAGTATAGGTGGGGCAACCAAACTAAGAATGCTGGGAAGAGGAAGAGTGGAGTCAGGAGTCACCAGTCAGATATAGAGGGAGCAGGAGATGAGTGTGCACCATGCTAATAAAGGTACTGCCATGTGGCAGACTGTACATAAGGAATATGGGTTAACTTAAAATGGAAGAGCTAGTTAGTAATAAGCCCAAGCTATTTGCCAAGCATTTATAATTCATAAAAGCCTTCTCTGTGTTTGAGACTGGGTGGTCGGAACAGGGAACATCCATTTACATTTCCTTGATTGGATTATCCAAGGTCCAGAGACCCAGCCATAAATCTGGACCACACCTTCTGGTGACATTCTATATAAAAGGACATGGAGGAAGGAAGTTTTGCTTTTTTGCCTGCTTGCCCTCACTCATGATGGTAATTTCTGAATCTCCTTTATATATTTTTACTCTACCACCTGGTCTGTGTTGGATATTTACGCCAACTCTGGCTGCAGGACAGCCTCCTGTGCTGCTCTCAGAGACTCCTTGTAAGCCCTGCCTCTGCAGACCTCTGGAGTCCAGGCTCCATCCCTAGACTATTCTGGCCTGACCCCTAGAGAGGAGGTGCCTGAGGAGCTCCAAAGGCCGGGCTCTGCTCCCCAGACTTCTCTAACTGACAGCCATTCCCAGCTCCTCTAGGAGAGAGAGTGGCCAGGCCCCTCCCTACAGAAAAACAAAAAGGCCAAAATTGGGCCACCAAATCCCACCAATCCCTGACCTTGTCCCAAGATCAGGTCACCCTGGAAAGCCCCACCTCCACCCCCAGAAACCCCATATAAACCCTGTGGAGCAGAGGCAGCTGCCCTCCTGGTTTTCCCCTCCCAGCAAATCTCTTGTATGAGGTTTGTTGTGTGGTGTGACTTTGTGGTGTTCCTTGGCTCCTCAAAGGCTAGGATACCTTTCCCTTCTGAGCTGTAACACAGAGGGGAGAGGGGAGGGGAGAGGCCCGAGCAGAGCTGTAACACTTGCACTGGGACCCACCCCCACCCCCGCAGGGGCAGTCACTCCTCTCTGAGCTGTAACACTTATCTGCAAGTGTTTTATTTGTTTTTTCAAGATAGAGTTTCCTGGTGTAGTCCTGGAGGTCTTTGAACTATTACACCAGACCGGCCTCGAACTCAAGAGATCTGCCTGCCTCTGCCTTCCTAGCGCTGGCATTAAAAGTGTGTGTTGCCGGGCGGTGGTGGCACACGCCTTTAATCCCAGCACTGGGGAGGCAGAGCCAGGCGGATCTTCGTGAGTTCCAGGAAAGGCGCAAAGCTACACAGAGAAACCCTGTCTCGAAAAACCAAATAAATAAATGAATGAATGAATAGGATAAAATAATATAAAAAGTGTGTGTCACCACTGCCCGCGAGCCTCAGTCACTAGTCTTTTGTTATTTCGGACTGTGGTTTTCTCACAATCGATACAACTGAGGAAGACTGCGGCAAAGGTGTCCCCTTTTCCTTTAGACTCAAGTTTAGAGAGAGGCTTTCTGCTCCGCAAGCAATGTCCAGACGCAATGTGGGGGTGCGCAGACCTGAACCTGGCCCCAGAGCTACCGAACCTGCAGAGGAGGAACCGCGGCGCCAGGACCTTAGGGTGCGCGAGGAATGCAACTGCTCCTTAATCTTTTCAGAGCGGGGCCAAGGCTGCCTTGGGAGGGCGGGAGGCGCCTGCAGCTCAGAGCGGAGCTCGCATTGCCCAAACCCGAGCTGCAACCCAGCAACCCTACAGCGGACTGACGTCCAGCCCTGCTGTGATAGCGGCCCCTGGTGGCGCCGACTACGGCTGACGCGAGGAACCGGGCGACGAAGGCTAACAGCGCGGCGCACCGGAAGTGACGTTCCGAGAGGCGTCGGGCCCTAACCATGGCCCACAAGGCCGCGCAATGGCCGTCGGAGGAAACCCTGTTGCTCTGGAAACGGTAATGGGGTCGGGGCCCTGCAGTAGTCAAGGGGGCTGGCCCTCTCCAATGACCTTCCCACCTCACAGCCTCTATGGCAGCTGTGAAGGGAACACCGGCGCTGCACCGCAGGCCTGGCCTGGGGCCGCCGGAAGTTGCAGCCTGCCCTGGTGGGCGCGGCCCTCGTTTCCGGTACACATCCGATCACCGAGCGCTTTCCTTCCTCATTCTCCCCTGATGGGCAGCAGGGAGAGAGGGTTGGACGGGAGGGACGGCGCCCCGACGGTCGGCCATCCCGAGAACCCTGTTTTGATGTTCGTGTCCTGTTAGGGAACAAGCCCGGCTGAAGGCGCGCATGGTGGACCGGGACACGGAGGCCTGGCAGCGGGACCCCACCTTCTCGGGCCTGCAGAGGGTCGGGGGCGTGGACGTGTCCTTCGTAAATGGGGATAGTGATCGGGCCTGCGCTTCCCTGGTAGTGCTGAGCTACCCAGAGCTCAAGGTAACCTGGGTGAGACCCTGAGCCGGATGCTGTTCACTCGTAGGCTAGGCACCCAGGGGGACTAGCAATCAGGGGTCAGAGCCTGGGTACAATTTTGTAAAGTTTTTCTGCTCTTCTCCACCACCGCACCCTATGTTTCTAGATTTTTTTTTTTTTTTTTTTGATGCTAAAGCTGACCCAGGATCTCTAACATGTTAAGGGATTGATACACTTCCACTTCATTTGTAGAATTTAATATATAGATTTGAGTGCATTTTTAAAAGGCAAAAGGCTAAGGAAATACTGTAACTTTGAAGAATCAATGGACAGAGGGTTGGTTGGGAATACTGTTCTTGCAGAGGGTCCAGGTTCAGTTCCAGCTCCCACATGAGGCTGTCCCCAACTGCATTTAACTCCAGCTCCAGAAGATCTGGACTGACTTCTGGTCCCTGTGGGCACCAGCATGCATCTGGTGTATATAAACTCCCACAAGTCCACACATATCTACACAAATACTAAATTAAAACTGTTTATTGAAGGATCAACAGACAGTTCTAAGTCAGGTTGTCTTGGGTTGCTCACCTCAGTGGCCCACAGCACATACCACAGGTTGCCCAAACAGGAAGTCTCAGCCTTCCTAGGATGAAGAAGGTTCACTAGAGTAAGTACTGTCTAAACTGGGCTCTTCAGGAAGTTGCGTCCAGCCAGGTGAGCACCACTCTAGGAGAGAAGGCGTGCCTACAAAGAAAGGCCATCAGACCCCTGTTGGAGGGATTTGAAGCTCTGAAGAATAGTGTTCAGGAATGACTGAGAACAGTGGGTTAAGGTGAACCAATAGTGTCACACCAAGCAGGGAACAGGGCCTCGAAGTCCCACTAGCAAATATGAACTCTATTAGCCTTCATCCCACAAGACCAAAGTTGCTTCTCAGCATCCTTTTTCACTCTGATAGACAAGATGCATCAGGCTAGGCAGCACACAAACGAGATTCCTCACAGTTGTGAGAGCTGGAAGTTCACGTCAGGCAGTAGAGCAAGACGGAGGTTCTGGTAAGACTTCCGGATTCAGATAGGCCCTTCTCCCTGTGTCCTCCCAACGCTCCCACTTAATCCAGTCACCTCGTAGGTTAAAATTTAAAGACCGTAGCAACCCTGAACCTCTCCTCTGTCATACTGAAATGAGCTTAGCCTGGCTCCCTCCCAGAGTGTAAATTCTGATGCCAGGAGCCATGACTTGCCCTGGAATGTGTAAGACACTCAGGTCCTCACTGCATAGATAATGTGCATGAGTTGAGCAGTCAGCCTGTGGTTCATCTACAGTCAGCGTCTTGGGAAGCCTTGGCTGCACCCCAGACTCAGCATTTCCCATCACCACTCCTCCAAAGGCAGCAGATCCTTCCTGACTCTAGCTTTGTGTCTTCTCAGGTGGCCCCTTTAAGTTCCAGCTCAACACCAATGCAGAGCGCCTGCTGTGCTTGGAGCTAGGTGTGTGGTGGGAAGAACTGGGGCTCGTGTCCCGTGGGTCCCTGGTTAGTTGCTAAGATAGTGTAGGGGTGACAGCAGAGACACCAGCACAGGTAGCTCCTGTGGATACCCTGGGTCTACCACTCTCCACCCTACCCCTTGGGCCTCTTTTTCTCTCTGACTAGTGAGAAAGATTGTCCTGGTTAGTTTTTATTGTCAACCTGACACAATGTAGTGTCACCTGCAAAGAGAGAGCTTCAACAGAAGAATTGCTTCGATCAGATTGACCTGTGGCCATGTCTATGAGAGATTGTCTTGATTGATTATTGAGGTGAGAGGGTCCAGCCCACTGTGGGCAGCACTGTCCCTAGGCAGGTGGACCTGGACTGTATAAGAGCTAGCTGAATGAGCCAGTAAGCAGCATTTCTCCATGATTTTGCTTCAGTTCATGCTTGAGTTCCCACTCTGACTTCCCTCAGTGATGGACTGTGACTTGAAAGTGTAAGTTGAAATAAACCCTTTTCTCCCCAAGTTGCTTCAGGCTGAGTTTTTTATCATAGCTACAGAAAGGTGATGGTATTAATGCCAACTCTTAAAGTTGTGTGGGAAGCAGCTGGCACAGAATGCCATCTTCCAGCTCTTCCCTGTAGTTGGTTGTTTTTGCTCCTTGACTCTTGGGTGGCCCAGCACTCAGCTCCCAAATAAATCACATGGAGATTTATTATTAATTATAAATGCCTGGCCTTAGCTTGGCTTGTTTCTTGCCAGCTTTTCCTAACTTTAAATTATCCTATCTAAGAGCTGGAGAGATGGCTCAGCAGTTAAAGGCACTGGCTGCTCACAACCATCTGTAATGAGATCTGGTACCCTCTTTTGGCCTACAGGCATACATGCAGGCAGAACTCTATACATAATACATTTTTTTTTCTTTTTTGGTTTTTTGAGACAGGGTTTCTCTGTGTAGTTTTGGTGTCTGTCCTGGATCTCGCTCTGTAGCCCAGGCTGACCTCGAACTCAAAGAGATCCGCCTGGCTCTGCCTCCTGAGTGCTGGGATTAAAGGCGTGCGCCACTACTGCCTGGCTAAATAAATAAATTAAAAAAAAAAATGATCCTATCTGCCTTTTGCCTCTGGGCTTTTTCCTTTTCTCACTTCGGTATATCTTTCTTTCTTACTCTGTTGCTGGTTGTGTAGATGGGTGGCTGGCCCCTTGTGTCGCCTCCTCTCCCTCTTTTCCTCCCAGATTTCTCCTATTTATTCTCTCTGCCTGCCATCCCCCCCTATCCTTTCTCCTGCCTTGCTCTTGACCACTCAGCTCTTTATTAGACCATCAGGTGTTTTAGGCAGGCAAAGTAACAGCTTCACAGCATTAAACAACATAAATAATGCAACACATCTTTACATTAAAACAAATGCTCCACAGCACAAACAATTGTAACACATCTTAAACTAATATTCTACAACACTCCTCCTCTGCAGACTTAAACACCCTGACTTGTGGCATTCAGCCCTGTTTAGTGTACATACTGTCACATGTCTCAGCCACGTGGAACCCACCAGGCAGGGTTCCGTCTTTTTCCCCTCCCCGAGGGCCGTTGAGGGCCATGGTACGCCAGAGTTGCATTGTAACCCTAGCAGTGAGCAGAGCGCCTGTGTCAACATTCAGTTAGCGTTTGCTTCTTGTAGTCTTCAGTCAGGAAAGCGCTTTGGAAGACTGTGGCCCACTGGTTCCCAGTTGCTTGACTGTGGCTCATCTGGAAGTGTGTTTAGTGATGTAGATTGCATAGGCAGGCTCCTAAAGGATGGAGATCCGTGGTTACCTAGGCATATGAGTTACTTACACGTGACAAAAGCCACTTAAGGATTTATTTTGCTCATGGTTCCAGGGTTCAGTTCACTGTGGCGGGGAAGGCATGGTGGCAGGCACATGAGGCTGCTTGTTCACAGTAGACCAAGAAGAAAAAAATGGAATGTTGGTGCTTAGTGCTTGATCTCCTATATTCAGTTCTAGACTCCAGTCCGTGGAATGGTGTGGATCTTTCTTCATGAGTTGAACCTCTCTGAAAATGTTCTCACAGACATACCCCGAGGTGTGTCTCTGGCGTGATTTTTGTATTATTATTTTATGTGTATGGGTATTTTGTCTGTGGGTATGTCTGTGCACTGTGTACATGCCTGATGTCCATGGAGGCCTGCTGGTCTCACAGGCTGCAGGCAAGGCCTGATGTACATAGAAGCCAGAAGAGGGTGTTTGATTTCCTGGGGTTGGAGTTAGAGAATGTTGTGGTTGTGAGCCTCCATGTAGATGCTGAGAATTGAACCCAGGACCTTTAGAAGAGCAGCCAGTGCTCTTAACCATTAAGCTATCTCTCTAGTCCCTCTTAAGAAATTCTAAATCTAACCAAAGTTGATCATCACACTAAAGCTGAGCATGGTTTAGATAGGGTGTAATTGCTACTTAGGACCACGCTAATTTGTGGGGTGGAGGAAATGTTCTAAAATTAGACTATGGGGCCCAGAGGGATTGCTCAGCAGTCAAGAGCACTTGCTATTACAGGACTTGGGTTCAGTGCTCGGCACCCACATGGCATCTCACAACTGTAACTCCAGTTCTAGGGGACTCCATGGCCCTCTTCTGGCCTTCATGGGCACCACACATGGTATGTTTACAGACATGCAGACAAAACACTCATACAATAAAAATTATAAAATATTTAAAATTAGATTATAATGATAGTGGAAACACCAAAAAAAAAAAAAAAACTCACACACTTTAAAAATATAAAGTGTATCATAGTAAAGCTGCTAAACACAGTTCCGGAGCCACAGCTCATTTTCTAGGGAAAACCATCTCCCACAGTAGGTTTCACATAAGCAAATCTTGGTTGGAGAATTTATGGTTTACCTTTACACAGGAATTCCTCCCTCAGCATCCTTGACAGATGGCAGCCTTATAGGATAGCTCTGCCCATAGCTGGCCAACAGTAGCCAGTATGTCCTTTTCCACAGGAAGAAGAGACTTCTCTGACATTTACTCATCATCCATACAGCCCAGCATAGAAGGAAGGAGTCTTCCCCGCCTTCTGCTTCTGGCTCCGTCTACTGTTTGCTCTCTTCTGAAAACCGTGCTAACTCACGCTGCCCCATTTGCTGGGGGCCCCTACTGATGCTGTCAGCAGGATGCATTTGGCACCTTGAACGTGGAACTAAACACAGTCCAGCAATTATAGTTCACCCCAGTGCAGTTAGGTCCATGGATCAATCTCATGTCCACACACATTTATCTAAGTGCAGCTTAAGTCACCATTGGCATTTTTCTTAATTGTTTTTGATATTACAATATTATTACAAAACTTCCTCTTCCCCTCTCTCCCTCCCGGCTCTCCCATACACCTGCTCTCTGTATAATGTTACCTGTATGTATATAATTTCAGGGTTGACCATTTGTTTAACCAATGGGTGTGCTCTTCCCTGGGGAAGACTGTCTCCTGCTCTCAGCATCCCTCAGCTGCCTGTAGTTCCTTGTGTAGGCCTGAGGCCTCCTGAGCTTTCCCCTGTCCATGTTAGTGTCTGTTGGTGTTGTCCGTGGTCAGGTCACTTAGGCAGCCATGATGGTGAGAATTCATGACTGCAGCTTTTGGCGTTTCTAGGAGACAGTCTCACAGCAGACTCCTTGTTCCTCTGGCTCCTGCAGTCTTCCCAGCCCCTCTTCCACAGTGGTCCCAGAGCCTCAGGTGCAGGAGTGTGCTGCAGATGTGTCTATCACTCGGGACTGGGGATCTGCAGCATTGCATTTTGACCAGATGTGCTTTTCTGTAGTGGAGAATCTGTTGCTGTCGAGTCGGATTCTCAGTGAACACCCCACTTGGAGTCATGACAGCCTTGAGAAGTTTCTTCCTGAGTCATTGGTGAAAATATTAGGAATCCAAGCCCCAGCACCCAGTGGCCTGTTCTTCAGGGTGCACTTAGGTACAGATCCAGCCTCAGGAGTCCATGGCTATTGTGATCTGGAAGCTCGTAAGGGCCTGGGCAGGGGAGGGTTCTGGAGAACATGGACACAGCAGGAGTGGGTCTGCAGAGCAGGCCAGTGAGCCAGCTATTCAGTGAAGCCTGCAGTGAGGAGTCTGCAGTTTGCCACTGTGTGCTGTGTGCAGAGCCCTAGCCTCTTAGTGCTCAGTTGGGTTTTAGCTGGCCACCTTCTGGTGCTGATTGGGTGCTTTTAGTTTGGAAACTAGTCTTTTTGCTACAGAAGACCTAAGAGAGGTAGCTTATGGCGAGAAATCCGTGGAGTCTGCTTAAAGAATAAGGAATTTATTAGGGGATTAAAAACTCACTACAGCCAGGCAGTGGTGATGCACACCTTTAATCCCAGCACTCGGGAGGCAGAGCCAGGCGGATCTCTGTTCGAGGCCAGCCTGGTCTACAGAGCAAGATCTAGGACAGAAACCAAAACTACACAGAGAAACCCTGACTCACTACAGCAGAGGAGATTTAACATATGGTCCTGGAAAGCTGAGCTGTGGTCCACAGTTTTTCCGCCTGGTCCGTCTCAGCATCCAAAACCACAAGGCAGAGAGAGAGAGCACCACGTATGTGCATCTCAGTTCTAGAGGCCACACCTCTTCAAGGTCATAGGCAGGTAGAGCAGTTACCTGCTATATCTCTAGGGATGGTGCTTCAAGGTCATAACCAGAATAGCTACCCTTTACAAAGCTCTCTGGGGTGTCCCCAGTTCCTCTTGAAGGCCACCTGGTCCCCTGCTTCCTCCCAGAATGCACAAGGCCTACTGTCCTGAGTGCCATACCATGACATATTAGGTTCAGCCTCGGAGTTTGTCTTCCTGAGTTCCCCCACTCTCTGGGGCTCTGTTTTTGCAGCTTACCTGCCTCTGAAGGCATTCCTGTCCTACCTGCCTGGCCTTTCCCCCATGGCCCTTCTGAGGTGCATACAGTATGGCCCGGGTTCACAGCACACCCTCCCTGGGGCTTCTACTCTAAGCCTCCAGCATCCATGCAGGTGGTCAGCTCACACTGACAAGGAATGAGCCAGGAGTATGAAGGACAGGTAGGCCTAAGGCTGGCCATCACCTCAGCCAAGCTCCTGAAAGAGATGAAATTCAGGGGTGATGTTGTTCCTCACACACACTAGACCCTAAGGGTATTCCTGTATATACCAGGTCTCGGGGGCTCCTCATCCATACCTGGTCCCAACAAGTACCTGTAAAATGAAATTTCAGTTGACTCCCTACCACCCAGTTGCAGGCAAATCATTTTGTCCTGTCTTTCAAAGCTGGTCTCATCCTGGCCGAGGCTGACATGAGAGCCATGGGTGGGAGGCAGAGGAATGAAGTGGAACGTGATTGCAGCCAATGTCTAACCTGTGCCTGTGGGCCTTGCCATCAGGTGGTGTATGAGGACAGCCACATGGTTCACCTGAAGGCCCCCTACGTGTCAGGCTTCCTGGCCTTCCGAGAGGTACCCTTCCTGGTGGAGTTGGTACAGCGGCTTCAGGAGAAGGAGCCAGGCTTCATGCCCCAGGTAGGTGCCTCCTAAGGTCAGGAGAACTCCCCTGCTTGCGCTTGGGTGGAGGGGTCCCTCAGGCCACTGCCACCCATAGGAGGAGGGAATGAGAGCCATCTGGAACCATCTCCCCTTCTTGCTGTCCCAGGAACAGCCCAGCTGACTGACTCCCCTGTGGCTCTGTAGGTCCTTCTTGTGGATGGAAACGGGGTGCTTCACCAACGAGGTAATCCTCCTAACAGGGTCGGAGCGGGTGCTGTGGGAGAGTAAATGCTTTGCACCCAGAAGAGCCCTACTGTCTCCCCTCTTCCTGCCCACCCACTTGCCTTCCACAGTGCCCTACACTGGCCCTGAGCTACCAGTCAGCCTTTGTCCCTGTCCTTGCCAGGTCCCTGTGGCCTGAAGAAGGGGACAATGGCACTCCCAAGTGGGGCATGAGGGGGGTATTGCCTTCCTAGCCAGCAGGAATGATAGGGGTCTGGCTAGAAACCATGGGCCCAGAGCCAAAGGACAGACACGTGCTAATCCGGGCAGCAGTTCAGGCCACCCGACAAGGCCCAGACCACGGGGGACGGGTGCAGAAGCCTGAGGCCAGCAGCAGATGGAAGAGGGTGAAAGGTTCTGAGGAGGTGCCACAGTCTACCCATCCGGTCGGAGGAGGGAGCTTCCTACACCCCACCCTTAACACCCGTGAGCTCAGGACAGAGGGCCTTGTTCATAGTCCAGTCAGCTTCGCTCCCACTCGAGTCTGTGTCTATGAATAAGAAGAGATTCTGGTTGGGTCCCTCTCCCATCCCTGCCACTCAGCTTACTCCCCTTGCTCCCTTGCAGGCTTTGGGGTGGCCTGCCACCTTGGTGTCCTTACAGATCTGCCCTGCGTTGGGGTAGCTAAGAAGCTCCTGCAGGTGGACGGGCTGGAGAACAATTCCCTGCACAAGGAGAAGGTGAGGAGGGTCTTGGACTCCCTGTGACTCAAGCCCTGTGCACCTGTTAGCCCTGGGATGGGGCTGGCCACCTCTTGGGGGCGCCTCAGATCTACCCTGGCCTGCTAGCACAGTCCTTACATCCCGGACTTTCCCTGGGCACTTCCTTCTGTGTGCCTCTGGGCAGTTCATCTAGCAGTGGCTCTCCGCCTGCCCTCGGAAGCTGGCCGGGCACGTCCCACCGTGTTTGCCAACCCTCTCTGCCTCTGCCATTGCGGCGCTCATGCTGGGCCATGCTCTCCAGTCCATGGGGACAGGCTTCCCGGTCCCCACCTCCCCCTGGCCCCCTCCTCCTCCCCCTCCCAGGGTGTTCACACTAGCCTGCAGTCTCAGCTCACAGCGGTGCCTGACTCTGGCCCATTTTCCATCCCAGAACTGCAGTGTGGATGGATGTGCCCTCCTCATCCAGAGGAAGCCATGTGACACCACGTTTATCCCACTGGGTGGGTTCCAAGAGCAGAGACCCCGCCGTCTCTTTCCTAGCTCTCAGGAGCCTGTGTAGAGAGTGACTTCACAACGCTGTTGCGCTGGTGCAGTGGGGGAAGCCAGGTCTTACTCACGGCAACCTGATCACTGGATCTGCTGACCCTTCCCCACCCAAAAGAGGAGGGCTGTGAGTTGACTTGTGCCGGATCCCTAGCTGGACAGAAGCATCCAGGAGGTGGTAGCTTTGGCCTGGACGTGCACTGCTGTGCCCAGCGGCACCTGTGTGCCCTCCACCTGCCTGTGGGGGCCTTGGCAAACCACAACCCCTTCTCTAAGCCCCAGTTACCAGGGTAGATGGAGCCTCGTGTCATGACCTCAGCACAGTTGGCAGCATGCTCAGTGCCGCCTCTGAGGTGGAGCCCTGCTGCTCCTAAACAGGAGGAGGCCCTCTTCTCACTGCTTAGATTTCTAAAATGAAGTTTGCTGGCCTGGAGAGATGGCTCAACAGTTAAAAATATGTACAGCTCAGGCCGGGCAGTGGTGACACACGCATTTAATCCCAATACCCAGGAGGCAGAAGCATAACTCTGTGAGTTCAAGGCCAGCCAGAGCTGTTGCACAGAGAAACCTTGTCTCGAAAAAACAAAACAAAATGTACTGCTCTTGCAGAGGACCCAGGTTGGGTTCCCAGCACCTGTGTTGCTTAGCTGACAAGCGCATGTCACTCCAGCTCCAGGCAGCCTGATTGATGCCTCTGGTCTCTATGGGAACTTGTACTCACATGCACACCCCCCACCAGACATACACACATATGCATCAGTCTAGAAAATAATCTTTTCAAGAATGATGCTTGCCTTCAGCCATTTCAGAAGGCGCAGTGGGTTGGGGGTTGGCTCAGGAACACAAAGCCTTGAGCGTGATTCCCATTACCATGTGAAAAGTGCTGGGCCTGGTGGCCCCTGCTTGTTATCCCAGCACCAGAGAGGCCGAGAAAGGGGGCTCTTTGGTGAGACTCCTTTTCAAAGAAGGTGAATGATGGGATGACATACTGGAGCCTACCTGCACTTTTGTTTGGTATTTGGTTGGTTGTTTGGTTGTTTTTGGTTTTTCAAGACAAGGTTTCTCTGTGTGGCCCTGACTGTACTGAAACTTGCTTTGTGGACCAGGGTGGCCTTGAACTCACAGAGATCTGCCTGCCTCTGCCTCCCTGGCCCCCCAGTGCTGGGATTAAAAGCTTGTGCCACCACCACCTGGCTATTCATTTGTTTTTGAGATAAGGTCTCACTAGGTAGCTGAGTCTGGCCTCAGACTCAGAGATCTGCCCTTCTGCCTTTCCGGTGCTGAGATTAAAGGTGTGCACTAACATGCTTGCTCTACACATTTTTAAAAGGAGATTTTTATAGTTGTTTTTTTTTTTTTTTTTCCCGTTTTCCAGATCATGCTCCTTCAGGCTGGGGGAGACACGTTTCCTCTGATGGGCAACTCTGGGACGGTCCTGGGAATGGTGAGTGGCCCAAAGGCTGTGCCCTGTCCAGACTCGGGGTCCACTAGACCATGCCACAAGACAGCTCCTGCACACATGGACTTGTCCTCTTCATACCCTGCCACCAACCAGCCTATGCTGTGTCGCGTCCTCCTCTGGCCACACTTCCCATGTGCACCTGGAGATGCCTGCACCCTGTGAAGTTCTTCCTGCCACCCAGGACATCCTCAGAGCCTTAGCCCTGAGACTGGTCCCACTTCACAGGAACATACTTCAGCCACGCTTGACCTCCCTTCACCCACAGGCCCTGAAGAGCCATGAGCACAGCACCAACCCCCTCTATGTCTCTGTGGGCCACAGAGTAAGCCTGGAGGTCGCTGTGCGCCTGACCCACCACTGCTGTAGGTTCCGGATCCCAGAGCCTATACGCCAGGTATGGGGGCTGGGAATGGGGGATTGACACTGCCACCCAGTCACCTGGGGGTGGGTGTCTGCAGGGATCTGAGGACAGGTCCCCAGGCCCTGCCCTAGAGAGCCTGGTGGAGCTCACTGGGCACTGAAGGCGAGAGTGTAGAGCAGAGGTCGTTTCCCTGGGGACGTCTCACCACTGTGCTGCTTCTGCCGTGCCACGCACGCCTCATGCCCCTGCCCCAGCCGTGCGGACAGAGCACCTTGTCTTCCAAACCAGCACTCTGGGCAGGACCAGTGGGAGCAGCCCTGCCAGCGGCTCTCACAGCGTCCTTCCACGGCCACATGGAGGAGGTTGTGCTGGTGCCAAGGACGCCAGTTAGGATGGCCCCAGGGCGTGGCTCTGCCAGGTACCTGTCACCCATGCTGCTCTTCGGGGCCCCAGAGACTCAGCACACTGACAAGCCAGTCATCTGAACCTGTAGGAAAGCAGCATGCAGTTGAGATCCCAACCAACAGGTCACCTTTCTGTGTCGCCTGTCACATGCTGGTGCCTGTCCAGCAGTGGCCACTAGGTTGAGGTCCCAGCAAAAGTTCTTTCCTTTTCTTTTTCTTTCTTTTCCTTTCCTTTCCTTTCTTTCCCTTTCTTTCCCTTTCTTCCCCTTCTTCCCCTTCCCCTTCTTCCCCTTCCCTTCCCTTTCTTTCTTTCTGGGTTTTGTTGTTGTTGTTGGTTTGTTGTTTTTTTTTTTTTTGAGACAGGGTTTCCCGGTCTAGTTTTGGAGTCTGTCCTGGATCTCACTCTGTAGACCAGGCTGGCCTTGCACTCACAGAGTTCTGCCTCCCGAGTGTGTGCCACTACTGCCCAGCTTGTTTGCTTTTCAAGATAGGGTATCCCTGTGTAGCCCTGGCTATCCTGGAAAATCTACCTGGCTCTGCCTCCTGAGTTCTGGGATTAAAGGTGTGCACCACCACCGCCCGGCTAGAAAAGCCACTTTTTAGGGGAGGTTAGGAGGACAGTCTGGGCTCTGGAAAGGCACTAACAAAAGCCCCGGGTCGGGAGGAATTTGATCTATTCAAGCAGCTCAGCCAGAGTGGGGGAGGCAGGAAGCCTCAGGCTTTAGGCCTTACCAGCAAGGGACTTCGAGCGGCTGCTGTCTGTGTCACCTGTGAGACAGTTTTTCAGGCCACAGCTCTGCACATTCAGGAGGCTGTGAGGTCTTTGGGAGGTGTGAAGGAGGCCATGCATTGGAGTGGCTGCAGTCCGACTCTGGCTCTGTCCTAAGGGGAGCAGCAGAGCTGCAGATGCACAGGATGGCCTCCAGATGGCAGCAGCATGCTGTGCTTCCTGTGGTGCTCAGCCCCACTGGAAAGGCTGCCCAGAGGTGGCCTCCAAGAACAAGTGGGCTGTTGGCACCCCCTGGGAGAGCCCTCCCTCATCTAGGGTGTTGGTTACAGGTGCTATGGTCTCTCAAACCTGTCCCTAGTCATGTCCCTAGCCCCAGGCGGCCTTTCCCCTTCCTTCTTGTTGGTCTAATGAGAGAAGCCACTGACACTCTCCCTTAGGACATGCAGCCCTATGTTCCACAGTCCCAGACCGGCTATGCAGGCCTCAGCTCTGTGGGCCGTGATTTTTCCCAGACTTACAGTGGTTTCTGTTCTAGCAGGTAAGGGGTCCCTGCAAAGCACCCTGAATACTGGAAGCCAGAGCATGCCTAGCACAGGAGAGCCTGCCCAGCCCTGGGCACACACAGAGCAAGCACATGGCTGCCTACCCTAGAAGTCAAGCCTGGCAGGGAGGAAGGGAATAAGACTTGGCCTGTCCAGAAGGACTGGCTGGAGCTCTTGGCTTCTCTTCTTTCCACTGGCCTCTCAGCAGAGCACCTTCCCAGCATTTCCACCTCCCCAAGTTCTCCAAGAAGGGGTCAGTGCCTGTCTCTAGGGTCTTCCTTCCCTCTGCTCTGGTCCATACCAGACTCTGCTGTACTGGGTCCAGGTTCTGCCCATCAAGACATCCCACCGCCCACAGCTGCTTTCCTTAGTGGAAGAGTTGTTTGTCTGCAGGATTAGCTGTTGCTGCCTGTGGGTCATGTGGTCCCAAAGCTAAGCTAAACCCATCTGAGCTGGGACCAGGGGATTCCTGAGGCCAGACCCTTACAGGTGGTGGGAAGTATAATCAGGTCTGAGTCCCACTCTTATGTCCGTACCTGTGGCTCACAAGCCCTTTTTTATTAGGGCAACTTGTCAGACTTTCTGGAGATGGCAGATGTTGTTCAATTCTTAGATGGTCTTTTAATAAAAATGCAGATCCATATATTAAGGTGAAAGCTGAAAGATCAGAGAAGCAGAACAGCCAGCCACTAGTTCTTACCTCTATGAAATCCTCAGCCTAAAGAGAATGAGTTCCTGTTTCCTCATGCCTTGTATACCTTTCTCTGCCCTGCCACATTACTTCCTGAGATTAAAGGCGTGTGTGCTTCCCAAGCAAAGGCATGAGATCTCTAGTGCTGGGATTGAAGGTGTGTGCCACCACTGCCTGACCTGTGTCTAATCTAGTGGCTGGCTCTGTCCTCTGATCCTCAGGCAAGTTTATTAGGGTGCACAGTATCTCACCACAGGCAGGTGTCACAGCTGACACTCATCAGAGGGACAGAGAAGACAGACACCTGGGCTGTGATCAGAGAAGAGGGCTAAGCAGCATGGAGAATCAGGAGCTCTGGACAGAGGTTTCACTGGCCACTGAGCTGATGTATTTCTATCAGCTACACACTGGTGGGGCTGATGTCCCCAAAGGATGTGATGGGCATGCGTGGGCTGTCTCTGGAAGGGCATGAAGTGCTTCCCAATGGCTAGGGGCAGGGACACATGCCTAGGGCCGGGCCACAGCTGTGTGTGTCTTTCAGGCTGACATCCGCTCCCGAGACTACATCCGAAGGACTCTAGGACACCCTGGGTCTCCTGCACAAAGGCAGGAGAGGTGAGTGTGGGAAGGATGTCCTCAATGGCTGTGTGTGAACCCAGCCTGTCCGTGATGCAGGGTTTTAGTCTCAGTGTGAGACCGGGCCTGGCAGGGGACATAGGAAGAGGTCCCTTGGAGGAGAATAGACTTCAAAACCAGTGGGAACCTTCAAGAAACCCACTCCTATGGCTCAGCTGGCCCAGGCCCACCTCCTGTCTTAGTTAGGGTTTCTATTACCGTGAGGAAACACCATGCCAAAAGCAACTTGGAGAGGAAAGGGTTTATTTGGCTCACACTTCTATATCACTGTTCATCATTGGAGGAAGTGAGGGCAGGCGCTCACAGGGCAGAAACCTTCAGCTGATGGGGAGCCGCTTACTGGCTTCTCATGGCTTGCTCAGCCTGCTTTCCTACAGAACCCAGTACCACCAGCCCAAGTGAGCTGGGCTGTCCCCCATCAATCACTAATTAAGAAAATGTCCTACAGCCGGATCTTATGGGAGCGTTTTCTCAGTTGAGGCTCCCACCTTTTGGATTACTCTAGTCCGTGTCAAGTTGATGTAAAACTGTTCAGGACAGCTGCTTAGCCTTTTCTGGTCCACTTCATCTATTCAGGGATCCAGGCCAGGTCTCCCCAGAAAGCTTATGGTCTTTTTTTTTTTTAAATTTATTTATCATGTATACAGTATTCTGTCTGCATGTATGCCTGCAGGCCAGAAGAGGGCGCCAGATCTCATTACAGATGGCTGTGAGCCACCATGTGGTTGCTGGGAATTGAACTCAGGACCTCTGGAAGAGCAGCCAGTGCCCTTAACCAGTGAGCCATCTCTCCAGCCCAAGCTTATGGTCTTTAGAGTCAGACATGGTTCTGTTCTTTGTAGCTTGAGTTTTCCTGCCTTGCCTACAGTCAGGGCAAATCTCTCTCACCCGCCAGTCCCACAGTCACTCAGACCCAACCAAGTAAACACAGAGACTTATTTTGTTTACAACCTGTATGGCCATGGCAGGCTTCTTGCTAACTGGTCTTATGTTTTAAATTAATCCATTTCTATAAATCTATACCTTGCCACGTGGCTCGTGGCTTACCGGTACTTTACATCTTCCTTGTCCTGGCGGCGGCTCCAGGCAGTGACTCCTTCTGCCTTCCTGTTCTTTTATTTCTCCTCTCTGTTAGTCCCGCCTATACTTCCTGCCTCGCCATGGCCAATCAGGTTTTATTTATTGACCAATCAGAGCAACACATTTGCCATACAGCCCATCCCCCAGCACAGCCAAGTGCAGACCATCTCAGACACCTGCACTCAGGCCCGTGGTCCTAATCATCCTCTATGCGGACCTGCTGGGTAAAGCCACGAGGAACCCAAGAACGGGCTCCCACAGGACATACGGAACATCCCACAGCAGTTCTTTACCACCTCCCCTCACATGGCTGTCTCATCACAGGAGTTCTTGTCCTTCGAGCTTTGAGGTACAGTGAGACTGTTGTTAGCTGGCAGTCTCCTCTGGGGACACAGGGCTGTCATGAATCTTTACACAAACTGGTGTTACTAGAACAGGCCTCAGAGAAGCCTTGTCAAGAAACAGGTACTGTGATCCCATTTCATGGGTGGGGAAACTGAGGCACAGGACATCAGCAATAGAACGTAGTGCACCTGACAGCTTCAATTTTGGTCCCTGCCCCTAGTGCTCCTCACTACGCAGGTGACGACAACCGTCCTGTCTCGGGTGCTCACCCCCGGCAGCTGGTGGCTGTTCCTGAGCCCATTAAGCTATTTGAGAACTGAGGGATGGGCAGCTGGACCCTACCCCCAGCTTCGAAGTTGTGCTTGGTCAGCCTGAGGGCAGAGTGGACCTGTTCAGTTGACGAATGTCTGCCTATCCCTCTAGACTGGACCCTTCAGCAGGCCTTCCAGAGACCCCTGGGGAGCAAGGGGACTTCTGACAGACCTGGATTTCTAAGTTACCTCTTTCTGGGTGTCATTACCAGGAGCCAGAAGGAGCAGAGGCCAAAAGTATGCCCCAAAGATGGCCCAGGAGCACCTGCAGATCAAGGCAGGCCCCCCGAGGACTATGGCAGAGACTCCAGCACAGACCTGAAAGACCCCCAGCCAGGCTTCCAGGAGCAGCAGAAGGACCAACAGTTGGAGAGAACTGAGCATCATGAAGACTCAGACCTCTAACCTCCTCCTCCAACCTGGGTACAGTCACCACCCTGAGAAGATGATCTCTAGGAACTATGGGAACCTCACCCACAGCCACAGGTAGAGCGCCAGGCCCCAGAGGCAACGGTGACCAAAACCCCAGCGCTAATGGCTACCCAGCCTCCTCAGTCGCTGGCTGCTCAGTGTCGTCACCATGCCCCAGCGATTGAGGAGGCTGGGTAGCCATAAGACCAGGAAACACACACAAGCACCCAGCACACAAGAGCTGCAGGCGCCCAGAGGCCCTGAGGTTGGCAGCCTGCGCCAGCACCTGCAGCTCGGCCCTTCCCCCTTGGAACACAGATCTGCTTCTGGCTTTGCCCCTCTATCCTCAGGGGTCACTGTTCCATCACCATCCTGGCCACAGGCTGCCAGGCTGCGGTCCCCAAGGTGCCTGTCCTTAAGCCTACCTACTGCTGCGCTTGAGGGACCTGCAGTGGGAAAGCCTCCGCCTGGAGCAGGCTCCAGAGTGGGCGGTGGGGAGTCAGCTCCACAGAGGGTGCCAGATGGGAACCGGTTGAGGCCCATGGTGAGAAAGGCCCAGGCTGGGCTCCTCACTTCTCTTCCTGCCGCCTTCTCACCAGAGGGAGCGTCAAAATTCCATCCCACCAAGAGAGCAGGTCTGCTCTAGGCCAGTGGCTTCTCTGGGTGGCTTAAAGTGGTTGCTGAGGCAGCCACAGAGGTGGCCACCAGCAGCATGGCTCCAGCACCCTGTCCTCCCATACATACACACATCCTCTAGATTCATCAGAGTGGCAGCTGAGGTGGGACACAGAGGTGACCTACCTGTAACATGTCCCCTGCCTGTACCCTAATCCCCACACTCCCTGGAGGAGAGGCAACAGGTGGTGGGTGAAGCTAGCTGCCAAATCCTGTGGACACCCGTGGGGGGATCAGGACGGACCGAGGGTTAGTGATGAGGGAGGGACACCAGGGACGGCTCTCCTGTGATGATATCCAGTCCCATTTAGATCCAGCTGGGCTGCCGAGTCTCCCTCCTAAGCCAGTCTGTAGTGACTGTCAAGACCCCTGGGGGTGGGTCTGCTGCTGCAGTCTCTGACGGAACTGGCAGCGGGTCCCCACTCCCTGGGATTTCAGTTTGGGACATTAGGACAAATGTACATGTGGTCCTGTCACCCAGTAAGTTCCCAGGAAATGAGGTATGAGGCAGAGGGAGGCAACCTCCCCACCACACACCCGATGTAAGAGCCCCAGGGACACCCATGGGGTCAGAACGGGAAGGGAATCCCTGTGGTGCCCACATCCCTCACCTCCCATGGGGGTGTGTGGGAAGGGAAGTGTATGCTTGACCAGGAATCCCCCACCCCAGCTTTGGCCTCACTCCACCTACTTGCTGAGTCAGAGTCCCGGGCTAGTACCCTGGGTTTAACAGAGTGCCGCAGACTATCAGGTCCCCAGAGGTACAGCCCCTATCACTCACCGACATTCTACACATACGCACGTGCGCACACACATGCACACACACACATTCCCTGACACTCCTGTGGAAGCCAAGAGCTGGAGAGCCTGCAGCTGCCCCCACCATCTGTCTTCCTAACTTCTTCCAGATTCTCCCTCCTCGAGCCCTGTCAAGACAGTTGTGGGGGGATTGGGGGGATTGGAAGCAAAAGCTTGAGGCTGAACTGCAATGACCAGAATCCTCATGCAGAGCTCAGATGTTCAAGTGGGGAACAAGGCCTGTCCAGCCACCCATGCTGCTGGAAGGTGCCGCGGGGGCGGCGGGGGGTGGGGTGGGGGGGGGTTGTCTTCACACGGCCCCGGCACACAGCATCCTTGAGTGAGGAAAAGCTGTTAGTTTAGAGAAATGGGCTCCAGAGGCCAAGACCATCAGTCGTTAAGGCCAGCCTTACAGATGAGGGAAAAACAGCTTACAGAGTCCCCCATCCCACCTCACTTAACGGGCAGTTCCGCCCGCTCCTGTGAGCCACCAGAGTGGCTGGGGACCCAGCCTGGCCACCTCTCTGTTTCACCTGTTCCACTCCAACACGAGACCTTCCCCAGGACACACACAGGTCATACCCGTCACACTGACACCACTCAGCTTGCTACCTTCCAACACTCAGACCCTCTTCTCAGCAAGTCATGGTCGAGGTGGCTGTGTCCCCAGGGAGGTGGCTCGCCAGGATGCCAGTGCAGCCAGAAGCTGCAAGGAGTCCACCCGTTTCCCACACAGGAAGGTGCAGGCCAGAGCCTGAAGGCGGGCTTGTAGACAGCTTGGATGTGATTTTTTCTGAGAGAAAACCCTCTCAGTCGTTAAAGTACAGCTCATCAGCCTTTTGGGATATTCGCAGTCCAGTTTTGCACAGTGGTATGTGTGGGCCCAGCTACTGGGAAGCTTGAGACCAGCGGCTCACCAGCCTGACAGCACAGGCCAAGGCTTTGTCACAGACAAAAGGAAGATTCATCATCTTGTACAGCCAGGACCTTGTATGCCTCAAAGCCTTCTCACCGTTCAGATGGGAGCCTTATGCTGTTAGCCTCCAGTTCCCCACAAGAACCCGTCAGCCCAGCCATCCCACTTTGGGGGGCGGGGGGTGCCTGTGTCCAGGCTCCTTTGTGGGGTGCCGTGTGTCATCACTGCAGTCCTGTTGGTGACTGAACACTACCCTGTGCATGCAGTTGTCCATTCGGCTTGTCCAGTCACCAGCCCCCAGGTGGCTGCCTGTGCCTGTCTAGGAGTCCTGTGTGCTGGGCTCCCTGGGAACTGCTCAGTCCTTGTGGGCACATGCCGAGGAGGGGCAGTGCGGGTCCTCTGGTGACCCTCCCTATGCTTAACTTCTACGAACCCACCCCCAAGCCGTCTCCTACAGGAGCAGTCCCCTTCTACAGCCGTCACCACCCCAAGGACATAGCTCCACTTTCAGCCTTGTTCCTGTGTGTCTTCAGAGTCTGGCCACCCAGTGAACTGGAAGGGACCTGATGGGAGCTTACTTGCCTTCTCTTAGTGATGAATGACTTTAGCACCTTTTCTCCACTTTCTGGCCACTTCTGTAGTTCAGGATAAATGTCTATTTACATCATTTGTCTCTTGCCTGTATTGGGGTGTGTGTGTGTGTGTGTGTGTGTGTGTGTGTGTAAGTAAGTGTAACTGGGCTATTTGTAGTTGAGTTTCAAGTTCTGGATTTTAGTGATGGGAGCATGTGTCTCAAGGAGTTTGTCTGGAATCTAATTCATTGCTATTTTCTTTTTGTACCCTGAGATCACTAGAAATAGCCTCACTTAAGAGTCCTGCCAGCTGGGCAGTGGTGGTGCACGCCTTTAATCCCAGCACTCGGGAGGCAGAGCCAGGTGAATCTCTGTGAGTTCGAGGCCAGCCTGGTCTACAGAGCGAGACCCAGGACAGGCACCAAAACTACACAGAGAAACCCTGTCTCGAAAACAAAAAAGAGTCCTGCCGCCGGGCGGTGGTGGCGCACGCCTTTAATCCCAGCACTCGGGAGGCAGAGCCAGGTGGATCTCTGTGAGTTCGAGGCCAGCCTGGGCTACCAAGTGAGCTCCAGGACCGGCACCAAAAACTACACAGAGAAACCCTGTCTCGAAAAACCAAAAAAAAAAAAAAAAAAAAGAGTCCTGCCTTTGGCAACCCGTCTGTTACCTTGGCCAGCCATGGTCAGCCTGGACTGGTTTCTTTGGTGACCTCCTGGAATGACCTCCTGGACTGGCAGCAGTGGGAGCATGCTGAGGACCCACGAGTCCCAGAATTGAGGAGAGGCTGCCACCACCTCTGCACTTTCCCCGCCTGTCCCCAGACTACTAGCCATGGCCCCTCCAGATGCTGCTAGCAATGGGTCTAGCTCGACCATGGCCTTGGGAAGGAGAAGTGTGGGCTCAGGACAGCATGCAGTTCTCAGAGCCCGAGACAGGCTTGAGGTTTGGTGTGGGTCTGTGCCTCGAAGATGCTAGAGTTTAGTGCACAGGGTAGCAGCCAGGCTTGGGGGTAGTGCAGGGCCACTGCATGCTTGGGACATGGGCCAGTGCCATGATGCCCTGCCACATCAGTGGTGATGTGTGGGACCCTAACCCCCAACCCCCACTCCAGCCAGAGTTTGCCAGGCTGAACTACTAGAGGGGACTGGGGAGTAGGGTGCAAGGGCCGGGGTGCAAAGTGGAGGAGCAGAGTAGATGGAGCACAGAATGTGGGCAGCCTGGCCTGGGGTGGCCAGACACCGGTGCTTGAGGGCAGGGGGCCTAAGTGCAGTGGCGTCTCAGCTCCTTCCCACAGAACCTTAAAAATAGGGCCGCGGTGATGTCCATCTCAGCAGACCACAGCTCTCTAGAGCTAAGAATATTCTTGAACCTCTTAATAATTCAAGTCAGATCCAAATAGATTTCCATATTCATCTGCAGCTTCTGGGCCCCTTACCAGCATCCCCTCTCCTGTCCAGCCACTGGGAGAAGAGGCTTCCAGGAGGAGGTGACCTAGCCTGGCCTCTGGGTCACCCAAGACCCTAACCATCCTCATTTCCTGCTCATGTGTCAACCCTGGGGAGAGAGAACCAGGCAGGTCAGGCTGGGGATCTTGACCCTCCTGAGCACCTCACTAGAGCCACCTGCTGTCTCCTGGCTGTTGGGAGCTCACCTGCTCCTTAGACCCCAGTGGCTGCTACACGCCCCCAGGAGTATTGTCCTACCGCCTCCTCCGGAGAGGCCTGGACGGGCTTTGTCTGGGGCTGTAACTTTGTGAGTACATCTGTACAGGGCTCCAGTCCAAGGTCTCTGTTCTTGCACGCTGAGTGTGTCTGGTCAAGTCACTGCCTCTCAGCCCCTCCTTCTTTAATAGTGAGGTGGTGGGTTTGGTGTCTCCGAGTCAGCAGGATGTCAGCCTGGACCACCTTCCCCTCCAGAGACAGTGCCAAGCTGAACACACCCCTCACCTACCAGTCAGCTGAAGGTCTGGTATCGGAGGTGAGGAGCAAAGGGTCGCCTACCTGGCCCACCCACCCCAACAGCAGCCCAGCCCAGCAACCCTGCTGCACCATGCTGACCAGGTCCAGCAAGGAGTCTTACCTAATTATTAATTAAAAGCAGAGGCGCAGGAGAGAGGCACCACTGACATGTGGATAAATGGCCCAAGGAGTTGTCAGGTGGGTGTCACAGGTGATGGAGTAGATCTCTCTTCCCCATTCCCCACACAGAGCAGGCCCCGCTGTGCCGGGTCCCAGGGCTCCTGGGAAATGGGAAGGTGAAGTGCAGGGGTCCAGACTCCAGGCAGAGGGGCCTGGAACAGGTCCTGGTGAAGAGCTGTGAATAGAGTCTAGGCTTGGGGTTTGGTTTGCTTTTGAACAAGGTCTCATCACAGCACAGATGGGATGACCTGGAGCCTCTGCTCTTCCTAACCTTGCCCCTAGCAGTGGGGTTACAGGTCTGTGCCACCACACTGGTGCTGGGATTAAACCGAGGCTCTGCATGCTAGACAAACACTACCAACTGAACTACATCCCCAGCTTTGGGCTTTGTTCTTACTTGTTTAAATTTTATTCATGGTGTTTTCAAAGCCGTAGGCCTGCATTGTTGGGCAGTCAGTTCTGTAAGGATTGCCATGAAAAGCTGGCACCTCCTAGCCTGGGTCCCTCTCAGAGGCAAACTGCTATTTTAGCATATTCTTCGATTACTTACTTCAATCTTTAAAAAGTGGTTTTTAATTATGTGTGTGTGTGTGTGGGTATGTGCATGTCAGTATAGTACTTCAGGAGCTAGAGGAGGACGTCCCATCAGAAGTAGACTGTTGTGAGCAACGAGTGAGCCAGTTACGAGCCAGACACGAGTGCTGGGAACTGACCTCTGCAGCAAGCACTCCGGGTTTCTTACCCTGGGTATTCACCTCTGAAGACAGTGCCAACAGTGTTCCTTTGTCCTCCAGATTTAGAAACTGCCCACTGACTTCTTGCTGCTGCAGTTGGTGTCTGTTCTCTTATGTTAGCCATTGCTCATGTGCCCATGAATGTGCATGCACACATGCACGCATGTGCATCCCATACATCTCATGGCAATAAATTCAGAATCCACTGTAAGACTGTGTCCTTGCAAACAGGACTCTCCGATGAGTAGTGTATCATAATTACATTTGTTTTACTTGTACAACCTCTTGTTTTTTCCTAGGCTTAATAGTTGCTTCATAGCCGGGCGGTGGTGGTGGTGGTGGTGGTGGTGGTGGTGGCGGTGGCGGCGGCGGCGGCGGCGGCGGCGGCGGTGGCACACGCCTTTAATCCCAGCACTCAGGAGGCAGAGCCAAGCAGATCTCTGAGTTTGAGGCCAGCCTGGTCTACAGAGCGAGATCCAGGACAGCACCAAAGCCACACAGAGAACCCTGTCTTGAAAAAGACCAAAAAAAAAAAAAAAAAAAAGTTGCCTCGTTTAAGGGAGAAGCTGGTTTAGTTTCTCTGCAGCCATTACCATTTCTTCCCTAACCTTGCAACGGAACCAAACTGTGCATCTCCTTCAGGAGCATTAGCAACAGAAGGCCATGAGTGAGCCTGACTTCTTGGCGCCTTTGGTGGCCATTCTCCAGGACAACCTAGTGGCCCACCCACCTAGGTTTAGGTAGTTGCCTGGCACTGAGATCATTGTGTGACTCATGAACGATGACAAGAGCAAGCAGGGACCATTCCCAACTTGAGGTTGTAGAACGTGGGTGGCTGGTGCGTGCTCTCCCTCCTTCCTTCCCTCCTTCTTCCCTCCTGCACAAGCTGCTCTGAGGACACCATCTTAGAAATGTCTCCTCCACCCTTCAAGACTGGATGACAGCACCCCTGGCTGTCATTGTAACCTCATGAGACCCTGAGAGAGCCCCTAGCCCATCTGGCTTCAGTCTCCTTTCCCTTAGAAACCACATGACATAGTAAATCTTTGATCCAAGGTAATTTGTTCGCTGAAAGAGATGAGTGATAGCTGTTCCTCCTCCCAGGGCCCACCTCTGTGGCCTTACAATGATGCACCACCTGTCACCAGGGGTACCCTCTTCTTATGCCTGGGGACTTCTCATCTTGACCCTGGGGTACAGGTCTGTACCCCATACAATCCTCCACCCCACCAAAGTTCATATTTCAGTGCTGCACAAGACCTACCTTTCCACCTCAGAACCAGTGCCCACGATGGCCTCTCGGCAGGGGATCTGGAACGAGGCTTTCTTAAACTACCTGAGAATTTTTGTGCCAGCAGGCCAGGGTATGGCTTGGTGGTAGAGAACTTGCCTAGCATGGGGTTGATCTCCAGCCCTCACCCACACACCAAAATAGTTCCAGTAGTGGTGGTAGTTTTGTTTCTAAGGTTCATGAACACCATGATTTCAGGTGTCTGTAATGCGCTGTCACATGTCAGCTAGGTACCCCTGGAAATTATGTGGGGCTGAGGTCACCTTAGTTGGTCAGCTTTCATAACTATAACAAGATACTGGAGAGACTCATGTTAAAGAAAAAGGTTAGCTGCTGGTGGTGGCGCACACCTTTAATCCCAGCACTCGGGAGGCAGAGGCAGGTAGATCTCTGAGTTTGAGGCCAGCCTGGTCTACAGAGCAAGTTCCAGGACAGCCAGAGCTACACAGAGAAACCATGTCTCCAAAAAAGGAAGGTTGATTCTGGATCATGGCCATGGATACCAGTGGCTTAGAGCCCGTGGGTCAGCAACAGGTCTTAGTCAGGAGCCAGGGCTGCTCTCATACAGCCAGCAAGTAAGAGAGTAAGGGGACAGGGTCCCGTGGTCCCGTGGTCCCCTTCAGGGTCATGCCCCCAGTGCCTTAGGTCGGCCTCACCTCCTAAAGGCTCTGGCACCTTCCTATAGTGCCAGAGAATGGGCTGGAAGCCTTCAACCCTTGGTCTCTGAGGCCCTGGGAAAGCATGTGGCCTGTCAAGGAAATGGCCTGGTGCTGCTGTCCTGGGGTCTGAAGCCAAGGCTAGGGCCCCAGGATAGGGTAGAGAGACTGTCTGAAGCTCTGTTTCCCCAGCTCGGATGCCCTAGGGCCCAGACACTGGACAGACAACAGGGCCTTGCTTATGGTCTTCCCTCCCTCTAGGTCAACTGTTCT